GCAGCGGGGGGGATGCGGAGGAGGATGCCGGTGGCGAGCTGGCGCGGTCGGGGGCTTTGCAGAGCCGCAGCTGTTTCTCCCATCAGCCGGCTCGCTCTGCCGTGCCACGTGGCACCGGGGACGCAGGCGGCGGGACCGGGATGTGGTGACAGGTCTGACTGAAAGCAGAAGCCCTTTCCCTTGAGTTTTCGCTCTGATTTTGTCCATGTGGGTTTTCCTGCGCCAGAAATTGCGCAACCGCTGCTGCTATGGGGCATCCTGCCGCGTTATTAATCCCGATTCCCTGCTGCCCAGCGCAGCCTCGTGCCAGGGGAGCCCCCGCTGCTCCCCATGGCCACCCCCATCCCCTGCCGTGACACTGATGCCCGTGTCTCCTTGGCAGGTACCACGACCAGCAGGACGTAACCAGCAACTTCCTGGGTGCCATGTGGCTCATCTCCATCACCTTCCTCTCCATCGGCTACGGCGACATGGTCCCGCACACCTACTGCGGGAAAGGTGTCTGCCTGCTCACCGGCATCATGGTAAGGGCCGTGCCGAGCCGGTTGTCCGTCCCGTGGGCTCTGTCCATCCCCATTGTGGCAACCAGGCTACCGGATTTTATGGGGATCCCCTTCCTGGTTGGTTTGTCCATGCATGAAGCGTAGTGGCTTCAGCCCCGAGGTCTCATGGCCTGGAGGCTGATAGAGCTGTGATTGCAATTATTGTAAGTGCAGTAATTAGCAGGACGTGGCGGCGTGGTGAAGGAGGGGATGGTGCAGGCCGGGTGTTCCTGGGGGGTACTGCAGTCCCACTGGGGAATTCCGGGTGCCTTTGGACCCGCGTTCAGCAAGGCAGGGGGGAGCTGGGCCTCGGCGGGATCAGGGGTATCCCCAGGGAGCAGAGGGGCCCCCGAGCATCCCTTGGCCGTCCCCGTTCACACCACCTGGCTTCCATCGCCCGGAGCGATCCCAAATGCTCCCGCTGAGAGCCGGGACCAGCTGGGAGCCCTCCACCCCCCCACGCTCCCGCCGGCATCACCGCTCTGCCGCCGCTTCGTTTCCTCATGGCTAAAAGGTCACTGTCCCCCCGTACCTGCTCCGAGGCGCCCGTGACATGTCCCAGCTTGCAGCGTTCTCCAGCCGGGGCGGCCGAAGGAGCAGCCGGGGGCCCTGCGGTCGTGGCTCCTCCATGGATCCACCCCAGTGCCCAGCACCCCCGGGCCCCAGGCCATGGGGATGGAGCCGTCCCCCCTTCCCAGCTGCTCCCTGGCAGCAGCATTCGGGCTCAGCTCTGCGCCCCGCGAGAGCCCTTGGCCGAGGCGGCTCCGCCGGCGGGTGTTAATTTTATATTATCTGCAAGTCTTTGATCTGTCTTGTATGAGGTTGGGCGCCAGCGAGGCTGATGCTGTTGGTAGGAGCCAAGCGAGGGAGAAAATCCCTTACTGGGGGGGGCTGCGGCGTTTCCCAGCAGCTTGCTGAGGGGGTCCTGGTGCCGTGGGCTCCCAGGCCACCCCCCCACGCCCCAGCTAGCGGTTACTTTGAACTGAGACACCAGCCAGCAAAGCGTGCCCCCTCCCCCCGCCCCCCCCAGCACCCATCTGGCAGCACAGCCCCTCCCGTGCCAGGGATGGGGACCCCCAGGATGGTGGGGGGCTCCCCTGGGCTCCCTGAGCCCCACAGCACCGGGAAGAGAGGAGCGGTGGGAGCCGAGAGCACACGCAGCGGGACCTTCAGGGATGCTAAAGGATTCGGCTCAGAGCATGATGTTAATTAATGACTCTTTAATAAATTAAGGAATCGTTTGCCAGGATCGTGGGCCTCTGCCAGAGTGCCGGGAGGGGGGAGCGGCTCATCTGGTACGGGCAGCAGCAGGCAGAGTGCAGGAGCACCACAGGGAGCGGAGGCTTGGCACCTTTGCTTTCCAAAAGACAAATACGTGCTGGAGATGACGGCGACCGTGTGGATCCGGCCCTAATCGCCGGGATAAGCGAGTTCCCAGCTGTCGCTGCTGGGAGCCGTGGCGGTTCAGGGGGTGCTGATTCAGGGAACCCCTTCCCTGCTTTCCCCCGGGTTGCCCGGTGCTTCCCCACTGCTCTCCCACCCCGGGCCCTCTCGGGAGCTCCCGGTGCCGCGGGGCGTATCCTGGCCGTGTCTAACGGGTGCTGGGGATCTAATGGGGATCGGACAGACACCACTGATCACCACTGACCTCGTAAAACAGCCCAGGCCTCTCCTGTTAATTACCCAAAACATCATCAGCCACTCAAGGACACCCAGGCTCTGAGATATCGCCTCATTAGGATAATGGGGGGGGGGTGTTAAGGAGCTTTAGTTAATTACGGGGTTGCAACGGTGAGGGTGGGAGCGCTGGTGGTGTACGAGGTTGCTGGAGAGTGACAAACTGTTCCCCTGACGGATGTCCCCACGCAGGGTGCCGGCTGCACGGCGCTGGTGGTGGCTGTGGTGGCCAGGAAGCTGGAGCTCACCAAAGCTGAGAAGCACGTCCACAACTTCATGATGGACACGCAGCTGACGAAGCGGGTAAGGTGCTGCCGGCGGCCGTGCTGCGTGGCGGGAGCTGGGGATGCAGGGTTCCACGGTGGGAGGAAGGTGACCAGAATCCCCAGATCATCTGGGCTGGAAAAGCCCCTGAAGCTCCTCCAGCCCAACCATGACCCTCCCCCTGACCCTTCCCAGCTCCCCCAGATCCCTCAGCGCTGGCTCAGCCCGACTCTTCAACCCCCCCAGGGATCCCGGGGACTCCCCCCTGCCCTGGGCAGCCCATTCCAACGCCCAACAGCCCCTTCTGCACAGAAATCCTTCCTCAGAGCCAGCCTGACCCTGCCCTGGGCAGCTTGAGGCCATTCCCTCGGGGCCTGGCGCTGG